TATATCAATACACATAGCACATCTTTGATTTCAGATGTAAGGTTTCCAACATATTGTACTTATTTTCAATATTCCAATGATTATGCATGCACATATATATTAACTCATTTGTCCACTGATTTTTTTAAACAATAAATATTTGATAAAGAATTAGATCAGGGACAGGCACATTTAGATATATAAAAGTGCTCTTTCTCTACATTCTTGTCACCACTGGGTGTTTTAATTCGAGTTTTAATTTAACGAGCATGGAGGCGATATCCCAAGGGCTTGATACCTGGGTTATTTGGGTTATTTCAGATTTATGGTGCAAAGATTTGTTAACCAGGGTCTGAGTCATGGGTATGTGGGCATGTTTGTTCTATTGCTAAGAACTCTATGAATCAGATCTAATATCTATTTCAATCACTACCAATACAGTAACATTTCAAAGAAAATCTAAACTGGAAAAAGGTGTGTGTATATATATATATATATATATATATATGTTTTTAACAAAAAATTCTCATGGATGTGATAATGACAAAGGGGCAGCAATACTGTTTCACTTGAATTACATATCCCATTTTAGACATTGAAAGATATAATTAATAATTGTTTCTCAGAATAAGTGGAACTCTATTTGTTTCTGAATAAAAATGCCAATCATAAAGTAACAGCCCCTGCAAATTCACCCTTGTAAATGTCTTATTTTTGTATATGAACCTTGACAAGGCTATTTGAAACTTTGTATGCTCTGATATGTTGTGCTGTCCATTTAATGGCCTTTCAATGCATAATAACCCTCAGTGTTATTAGAAAGAAGTCAAAATAAGCTTAATATTGGTATGGCCAATTACTTTTAGTGTATCATTTCCAAATTTGACAAAATATGCATGCATGCACTTAAGGAAATAAAAGAGCTATGGTAATTTATCAAATAAGTGGTGATATTATCTGATATGTGCTAGTATTTTTAATAAGGATTCTTGGAAAATATATCTAAATATTCACATTCCAATAGAATCTGCTATACATTTATGTTAATAAATGATTCTAAATATCATTATAAACTTCATAAATATCAGTTATCATTAATGATAGAATGCTTCCACTATGATCTTTTACTATTCTGTGATGTATTGGTGCTAAGAAATTAGGTAGCATCAAACTTCTGAGATAAATTATTTTGGGTTAAAACATCTGGATGGATACCATTTTCAATTCAGTCTTCAGGTTATTATTTTTAATTATTACTTTTAAAGATTGATTTCCATGGCCAGAGCTGTGGTGCAGCACATCAAGCCACTGCCTGTAATGCCAGCATTTCGTATGAGTGCTGGTTCGAGTCCCAGCTGCTCCACCTCTGATCCAGCTCCCTGCAATGTGTCTGAGAAAGCAACAGAAAACAGCCCAAGTGCTTGGGCCCCTGTAACTCTGACAGAGTTGCAGGCTCCTAGCTTTGGCCTGACCCAGTACTAGCAATAGTGGCCATTTGGGGAATGCACCAGCGTATGGAAAATCCCTCTTTCTCTCCATTTCTCTCTGCAAATCTGGCTTTCTGATAAATAAATATATCTTCTAATAAATAACTAATTTTTAAATGAAAAGTGCTATAAAATCTTCGGGAATATGAGGAAAAGGAAGAAAATTGGGGTTTATTCATTCCAAAATATGTGGGAAAGCATGTATATTTTGAACAGTAGTCTCATACATTCACAATTAACCTAACTGTTCATTCATTTATCTATTACATTAGAATTTATTGAATATCATAAATGAACATATCTTTGGGTGATCTTCATCTGGAGATGTCCTGGATTCTAAATTAGAATCCTGAACTATGATTTGCATTAATTTCTTTCTACAGCAAGTTGTTCCAGTGACCTAGGACCACTTTATCCCTCCTTACACGTATTTGTATTAAGAAGGATTTTGGCTTCGTCTCACTAAGACCCAATCTTTCTACTTTCATATTGTTACTCATCTTTCTTTTAGCACCATGTTTTCCATTTTCTCAGAGTTGTAGGTTTCTCTTTATTTTATCAGTTTTACTTTATATAGGATCAAATTATAACTGAATATTTATATTGGTTTCCTAGTATTAGGGAGCCATGGCTCCAAACACTAGAATTGGTGATAGATTACATATTTACTCTATTTTGCTTCAATTGCTACCTTCTTGTGAAAAGTAGACATGTCAGCAAGTTCCTCAAGAATTTTTCAATGATTTATTTATTTTTTGAAGGCAGAATAACAAAGAGGCAGAGGCAGAAAGAGAGAGAGGTCTTCCATCTGCTGGTTCACTCCACAAATTGCTGCAACAGCTGGAGCTAGGCAGATCTAAAGCCAGGAGCCAGGAGCTTCTTCCAGGTCTCCCACATAGTTGCAGGGGCCAGGGACTTGGGCCATCTTCTACTGCTTTCCCAGGGCATACGAGAGAGCTGGATTGGAAGTGGAGCATCCAGGACTCGAACTAGTACCCATGTGGGATGCCGGCACTGCAGGTGGTAGCTTTACCCGGTCTGCCACAGCACTGCCCCCCCCCAAAGTGTGCATTTTTTAAAGATATATTTATTTATTTATTTATTTGAAAGTCAGAGGGAAAGAAAGGGAGAGACAAAGATCTTCTATCTGCTGATTCACTCCCCAAAATGCCATGATGGCTATCTGTGGGCTAGATCAAAACCAGGAGCCAGGAGCTTCTTCCAGGTCTCCCATGCTGGTAGCAGGGGCCCAAGCATTTGGGCCATTTTCTGCTGCTTTTCCCAGGCCCTTAGCATGGAGATGGATTGGAAGTAGAGCAGCTGTGACATGAACCAGCACCCATATGGGATGCTGGCACTGCAGGTGGTGGGTTTAACCACAACACCAGCCCCAAAGTGTGCATTTGTAATCATACTTCCTGACTCCCAAACCCTTTACATCTTCTACCTAGGCCTTGAACTGTCTTTGGTGGGCTCTCTATATTTTTTCTAAGATATGCTGTTCTCAACAATCATGTTAACCTTTTTCTTTTAATGGTTTCATTAGTTCAAGCATGGGTTTATCCACTACTTCCTAAGACTACAACACTATGCTACCTTTTGATTAAATATAGCCAACAGCATATTTTAAATCTAAGGTGTTCCTATTCTCTACTTGAATGGGATATATAAGAGATATCAGGTTCTTTTGAATATCAGAAGTCTATATTACCTCCTGGAGGACAGGCCTGGTAACCAGCACCAATACCTTCCTTTCACAGTGAACACAGGGTAGAATCGGGACCTTTACGGATTAATTATACTTTTCAGCTTGCTTATTAGCTTACAGAGGTATAAGTTTTGAGTTTCACATTTGAAATATTGATCATTCTTGAAGACTTCTGATATTCTTGAATTATATGCTTAGGATATTTCTGATAATGATCAGTTTTCCAAACAGCACAATGCCCTCAATATTTGTAGATTACTCACATTAGCATGTGATACACCTTCTATGCCACAAGGTAGTGGATCCCACCTTCCTGATAGTTGCCCTGCTTTGATTCTGTTGATTAATAAGCCCCTATGCAACGTGGTGGTAAATATACATGGCTGCCCTTCCATTATGGAAGATAAAATGGTTCAAGTCGTTAGGGCTTTTCCCATTGCCACTACAGTGTAGCCAAGAGGATCACAAGTGACCAGAATAAATAAAACTATTTTGAGTACAAGCTTGAGTCTCAGATGATGAAATCCAAATGAAAGGAAAAAGATTCATTCATTCCAGAGGGTATCCTGCTGAGAATATTGTGAGCCATGTGGCTTTCTACAAATGCTTAATTGGGTTCATAATACTATACCAAGTGCATTATTTGCCTTTTCTTCAAGTTTATAAATTCATTTCTACAATTTCAATAAATTACCATGAATTTGTTTGCCAACAAATTCCCATTACTTGCCAACAAGTATATTGATGATGTATTAAATTCATATTACAAATTCTAATATATTGAGACAAGTACACTGAGGAGATACATAAGCTCACTTAGTACCAAAATAAACCATTTCCACTATATGCCCTTTATAGGATATTTAATAGTATGCATCAGAAATAAAAGTTACTCTATATTTTTTTAAATAGCTAAATCATAATTGACAGTGATTTACTGTATATGGATGCTTCCAAATTTATGATGGGATTTTGTACTTATAAATAAATAATAAATATAAATAAAGTAAATGAATAAATTTTAGGTCAAATCATTGTTAACCATAGATCATCTATAGTCATATACTGTAAAATGACACAGACAATACACCCATTGTCATTATGAAAATACACTATTTCTAATGAGAACTTGGAAAAATTCTGCCCGGAAGATGACCTGCTTTTTAAAAGAAATCTCAGTGCTGTGGCTGCTGCCATTACCCAGGAAACATTATTTGGGTGTGTTACTAGGTTAAGAAAATTATGGTGCAAGATTTAAAGACCCTTACCCTTTATTAGAAAGACTTTACTATTGCTCAATATTCACAGGAACTAATTCTCATTTCTCATTTTTATTTTCTTCCATGTGAAGGTAATTTAATTATAGAATCTTCTTTGGTGTCTCTTTACCCTCTTCCTTTCTCTTCTCCTTGATCAGCTTATTTGATGGGTGAATTTTGGAGCAAGATTTTGTGAATCATAGTTTGAGTTATTCTCTTCTCCTAAATCTTCCCATCTACAGTAGGTAGCATGCAAGAAGTTGCATTTAGGTCTCCTTCGCCCCACTTGAAACCTCATAGTGCAGGCTCCCAAGTTGGGGTTGTCTGCAGCTGTCCAGAACTCCTTGGTCTTCCAATGGGAAATCTATCAGATGCTGTGGTTCAATGTTAGGAGGGTTATTTTTGCCACACACATAGAAAAAACATTCTTAAATATTAACTGCCTTACTAACAAAAGTGATATTTCTCTCTCCATTTGTTATGCTGATCTGTTGACCCTCACTTTTCTCTGAACTTCAACAATTGGAATGGAAACCCAGTAAGAACACATAGTGGTTTGGCACTTACCTTAGAAACATTTCTTCAGTAGGTCCTGATCTTTCCCAGAAAACCCACAGAAGTTAAATAAGTGCTCTGGATTCCTGCAGATGGTGTTCCTTTACACCTGGAGGAGAATAATACAAATAACATTTTTTGAAATCATACTCTACAAATGAGAAGAAATTTAGGATTACATGTTCCTGTCTGAAACGCTTCCCCAAATTTAGTAATTTCAAGTGATAGAATATTCATCTTTCATATGTTTGTGTTATATATGACTAACAAACATAGAAATGAGTAAAGTAAGCAGATATTTATATACGTATACATACATGATATAATACATATCTATGAATTTCTTGCTTCACTCATCTTTGCTGTTTTTCATTTACTTATCAATATTCATTGCATTTTCTTATTAAAATGTGTCATACTAATTTCATTGGGGAAGCTTTTTATGTATACATGGTTTAATACATAAACTTGAGTAAGCTTTTGTTCTCATCTTTCTGGCCATGAAGTCTAAACAATATACATAATTGCCTACTTATTTTAATCGTACTAGTCAAACAGACATTTTTTAGAAGTTGAAAATATGCCCCAAATGTACACATTTCTACATTTGATATAGCAACAAAATATAATAAAAACTGGCAGTGGATTGAGAATCAAAGCTGAATTCAATTCATAACTCTTTGTAATTTTCAGTAAGTATCCAAACCTTGCTGAGTCTTAATCTCTCTATATGTAAAATGGAGATCTTTGTACAAAATCACAACTATGGCTCTTCCATTTCTGAAGTTACATGGTAATCGTCCTTCTAAAGACATGGTTTGATGTTGGTAGGGAAAATGATCAGGAAGAATTTATGAGAGCAACCCTCTCAGATTTAGATAAAGCATACATTCCCATAAACATATGTGTACCCAATTACTGGCTTCTTTCTCTGTTGAGCATTTTGTTACTTCAAGATAAATAATACTATGATGACTAATCAATTAATTTGAGGCTTACTATTGATTTAAAAAATCGATTGCCTACATAATGGAGTTTGGAAAATCTTGATTTTTAAGACACAGAATTAAGAATCCTTTGAGATGTGATGACCAGTGTCTCAAGCATCTTGCCACTGAAGTGGAAAAGCCAGAATTCAGAAAGGACTAAGAAACTGCAGTCAACTTGGAAAACAGCTTACAGAATCTAACATGAGATCATGTTTTTTTTTTTTTTTTTCTCAAGTATCTTCCAAGGAAAAAAATATTTGTAAGTGAAATATTCATCCTAATTGGTGTTATATATATCACTGCTTTGTAAAATATGTAACGATCCCTAAAATAGGGAGGAAAGCTGAAATCAGTACTCACAAGGAGAATTTTAAAACTGACATAATGGCTTTGTTGTTGTTATGGGAATAATGGAGACTAATTTAAGTTTGTAATACATTTTTGACACTAGATTAAATTCTCCACATCAGTTTTACAGATTACACCTCATTGCAACTTAACAAAAATTTTGAATTGACTCCCATTTTATAGAGGAGGAAACTGAGGCATAGATGTATATATCAGTTACCCAGAAAGAGATAAGTGGAAGAATTAGCAGATCTGTTTTATCCTAAAGCCTCCATTCTTGTTTACTATGCACTGCATATTTTGGCATTACAAAGCTTGATGGCTACACCTAGGCCAATACACACTCAATTTCATTAGGTTGTCCTAGGCATAAGTATATTGAGGAAGGGACTTTCAAAAGAGAAGGTTAAGGGCCTTCCCTGATCAAAGGGAAAGTTAAGAATTCTTTCAGAACAAAGAAAGGGTGAAGTGGCCTAAACAGTAACCATGCATAAGTAACCTTATGGTGATCCTATAGCCTTAAAGTACCCACATGGAATTATGTAACCATATAAGGGAGAGAAACTAACTAGGATTGCATATAGGCAATTCCTACTTTGTTTGTGGCTCAGATATTTGTATATGAATCCACTGGGCCTTATGCCAGCATAAATAAATCCTGCTTCCTGCTAAAGCTTCAGTGTTGTGTCTTTGTGTCCAAGTATCCCACAATAATATATTATCTATGCCTCTAAATGTATCAGTAATTATTCATCTTTTTATATATGAAGATCTTTCTGATTTCTAGGTGGGCTTTGATTTTTATATTTTATTTATATGTTCTGGGGGAAAAATAACTCTTTTTCTAACTTTAGCCTGAGTTTTCTGTTTGAAATTTACCAGATTTCAAAGAATTTTATTGATAGCAAGATGCCTACTTAACACATACAAGTATCTTTGCACAGTGAACCGAATTACATGATGCTGCCTGCAGGTATGTTGCATCAGCTAAGAAGAAACTATGGGATGGGCTGTTGTGAAGAGAAGAACAAAGATAAGCTTTGTTCGTCAGAATGAAGCGAATCTTACCATTATTCAAGTTCATAACATGTAGTGCAGAATAAAAGCTTTGCTAATCATTTAATTCCAAACCCACACTGAACCAGTGAAAGGAGTAAGATATAAAGTGTTTATGAAGTAAAAACCAGGCTTCTGGATTTTCTCTCTCCAATAATTTCTAGTTATATTGAATCCTTGATCCCTGTGTTCATGTGCATCTCTTAAAGAAGGAAATACACTACTCTAGACTTGAATGTGTCAGCCACGCTGTGTAATTTAAGACTCAGGCAGTGAAGTGTTTACAACCAAGATCTTGAGCAATTGCTGCACCTGAGTTATACCAATCCAGGCTGGTAATATCACTTCCTGGCTATGGAAATTTAAGAAAGTGGCTCGATCTGTCAGTATTCCTACTTATAAAACAAGAGAATGAGAGTTGCCCCTCTCTGCAGTCCTTTTGGAGAGTAAATGAGGAAAACTGTATAAAGTACTTTGCATCAGCATCCACTCCATAGAAAGCATATACAAAAACTTCAGGTATGGTCATTATTATTATCATCATAATCATCACCATGATCATCATCACTTAATGTGTGTCTAATGCAATGGAAAATTGTTTGTAAATTATGTTTCCATTTAAATAATGATACATAAATCAATCCCAATAAAAGGAGATTGTGGTTGAAGAACTAACGAGAGAAACTGAAAATGGAAAGACACTAATATCTATGTAAATTTTAAATTAAATATTCAATACTTTGAAAGAGTAGGAGCAAGAATTGATTGTTTTGCTCAGCACTGTTTAAAGCAATTTAACCTAGAGGCAGAACTTCCAAGTTCTAATAGATAGACTTGATACTTAAATGATTTTATGTAACAAAAAGCAGGAGTCATCTCACATTTTTTCTTAATCATAATAAGTTGATATGAAAGAAAGTCCGTTTGGATCCTGCTGTTAGAGAGCTCCCTTATGCAATCTCCATATAAAAATAGTTCCAAATCAATACAACATGTTTTAAATTTACATTAACATTTAAATTAATGAGAAGCTCAGCGTGAATTACGGAGTTTTTGGTGTTTGGGACCAGATCCCTTCTTGCCAATTTGGAACAGAGTCCATTGACTCACCTTCTTAGTCTCATAAACAGCTTTCAGACTTCATGTATTTTCAGTGCCAGAGGATTTTCAGGCTGATGAAAGGTGCCATACTGACATCACCAGGGAATGAAGTTGGCCCTATCCTCTAAAGATGTAAAATGCTTCCAGCAACAGCACACACCCTCCCTGGAGGGAAGTTTGCCACAGATTATTGTCAGATCTGTGAATGTTTTTAGGTTCACTGCTTACTCCCTTTTTCCCAGGAGTTCTTTTTTTCATCAAATATTTCTAGGGAACCTGGACAGAGAACTGTGCTAAAGCAATACAGATTCTCCTTCAAGGAATTCACTGTCTTCTGTATGATATAGTTATGCATATAAATAATTCCAGAATAACGTGACACATTCTATGATAAAAGAAGTTACACACGGGATGTCATCAGAGGCACCTGAATAAGACTGGAAGAGAGCCAAAAACAACTTTCTGAAGCAATAAGGCTTAAAAAAGAATTAGGTATTAGTCAATTATAAAAGAACACGACTCAGCACTGAAGGGGACTCAGGAAGGGTTTGAGAATGACTAGTGTGAGAGGTAGCAGGCAGGTGCATTTGTGTGTGTGTCTGAATCCATGTATGTAACTTTAAAGTTAATGTTTACACTCTTTAGCACTGCATGAGATTGTCCACAATTTTGTTTCTTTCTAACCATATATGTGCAACTTCTTTTATACAAACGTGGGTGTAGTAAATTAACATACATGGTTCTGAAGGGACAAAAGTGGCAATCTCACATAATATGCTAAAGAATGTAGACACTATCTTTTAAGTTATACAGATGCAGTTCAGATGTGTTTCAAGTGGGCTTGATTTAAGAAGTATCACAACAATGTAGAAAATAGATGGAAGCACTTCATACCATTGCTAATAGACCTTAGCAAATCCAAACATGATGGCTTCTTTAGAATTTTACCAGATGCAGGGTACAGGTATCACAGAAAGTCACAGAAATTTAATTCCAGCTCTCATGGATCTCCTGTTGACTGTGGGTAAGATGAGGCAATGGGATCCAGAATGAGCAATTGCTGCACCTGAGTTATACCATTCTCACTCATTTTTGTAAAAGCTATAAATTTAGTAATAAAAATTTACCAGGGTCATGATTAGATATTTTGTCAGAGTAATGAGCAGGATAGGCATGGTCTCTACACTCAATCTACATTTTAGGGATTCACATTGTGATACAGCAGGTTATGCTGGTGCTGCAAATCTGTCATACTATATGAGTGCTGGTTTGAATCCTGGATGCTCCATTTCCAATGCATCTCCTTGTAAATGAACCTGGAAAAGCAGTGGAAGATGGCCCAAGTACTTTGGTCCCTGACAGAGTTCTAGGCTCTTGAATTCAGCCTGGCCTAGTGCTGGCTATTGCAGCCATTTGGGGAGTGAACAAGTAGATGGCAAATTCTCTTTCTTTCTCTCTCTCTCTTTTTGCCTTTCCAAAAAAGTGATAAATGAATCTTTTAAAAAAGAATTCTTAATTTTTGTGAAAATTAAGAAAAATAAAATTAAGTAAATAAAAATATTTATAAATTGTATTAAGAAACTAACAGAGTGATGTGATTATAATTAGAATGGTA